AAGTCCCCCCTATTATTATGTTATCCTTCTTTTATTCTTTAAAAAAAAAAAAAAAAAGCTATAGTGGAAGACACCCTAGAGCTCGTGTCGCCCACTGCTTCCAGAGTGGCTTCACAGAGTATGGAGGCACACAGTACTTCTGGATTTTGTTTCCTGATAATGTTCTAGAACACTCATTCTACTTCTAAATTACCAAAAGGAACTTATTGGCAAGGACAGAGTTCTTTGTACTGTCAGTCCTCTAGGGATAGCATCTCTGAAAATATTTTATCATAGCACAGCCAATGTTTATGGAAAACATGTGATGCCACCATGTTTCTTCATCTCCTTTCCCCCACCCCTGTTTTGGAAGATAAAATTCTTTTCTTTTCTTTTTTTTTTTTTTCTTTTTAGCTTTTTGAGACAGGGTATTGCTGTGTAGTCCAATCTGGTCTGAAACTCACTATGTAGCCCAAACTGGGCTCAAACTTGCAGTGATCCTCCCGCCTTAGCCTCCCACATCCTGGGATTGCAGATGTGTGCCATCATGCCCGGCTAGATAACACTTTGATGTCATAGGGATAGGAAAGGATTCTCTGAAAAACATCCCAGGGACATAGGAAATAGTACCAAGAATCAACAAATGGGGTTACACCACATTAAAAAGCTTCTGCACAGAAAAATAAACAACAGAGTAAACAGACAACTACAGAAGTGATGAGACAACCTAAAAATTTGCTGGCTATTTCTCATAGAGGAGTAGTATGTAGAATATAAAGAATTCACGAAAATTATACCTCCCAAAATGAAAGACCCAATTAAAAACGGGCAACTGAAATGAATCGATACATCTCAGAGTAAGCAGTACAGATGGCAAATAAATACATAAAGAAATGCTCAACAATTTGGGCCAAATAGATTCCATCTTACCCCAAAAAGAATGGCTATCATCAAGAGATCAAATAATAACACATACTGGCAAATCTGTGGAAATACAGGAACCCTTTTCATTGCTGGTGGGAACATAAAATAGTAAAACCACTATGGAAATGAGTATGGAGATTCCTCAAAAAAACTAAAATAGATATTCCATTTGACCAAGCTAGTCCCTGCCTAGGTATTTTCTCAGAAGAGTTAAAGAC